TGGTTCTGATGGGTTAAAAGTTCCCCTGTTTTTAGAACTATCAGGCGAGGTCAGGTTCTGCTGTTTGAGATAACGCCACCTGGTCCCCCAGCATAAGAAAGATGTTGCCGAGAATGAATGCCATCTAAACCAAACCGCCAACTTTAGATGCAGACTACAAGTCTAATGGAGGATTAGCTTACTGCATCAGGCGGTGAAACTGCTGGTGTTTATTGTAATTAATATTGGATTTGTGATCCATAAGAAATTTCACTCTGATGTGTGTGTGTGTGTGTGTGTGTGTGAACGTGTGTGTCACGTGACCTAGCAAGCCTCCCAGCAAGGTACTACCAACTGTTGCAAATCGTGGTCATGCATGCATGAACGAACGAACCCGTCTCGAGTTTAATTTTGAGTACGAAATCAAACATGAAAAGAAATGCGATCAATGTATTACTGTAAGCATTTAAATATAAACATAATCCTCATTTAATAGCTAGGTTGCCTCGGAGTTCAAACGATAAAAAAAGGTCAAAGAAAATGCAGATTTTAATATTAGTATTTAAAAAAGTGAACATTGGGTTGGTGTTTTGCAATACTTGTACAAAATTGAGCGATTTTTTCATCATTGACGGTAGAAGCCTTGTATGACCAATACCATAGCGGGGGTGGGGAGGTTAGGGCGGTGTGATCTGGGCGGTTTGTTTGACGAGCCTAAGGAGTGGGTGGTAAATATGCATGAATTTAGTGGGTAATAAAAATCGAATGTGATAAATAGACTTATAAGAAGCTGGTGGTAAAAATGTATGTAGAAAGAGGGTGGTAAATATGTATGTAGAAAGTGGGTGGTAAAATGTATGTAGAAAGTAGGTAGTAAAATGTATGTAGACAGTGGGTGGCAAATATTTATGTGGAAAGTGGGTGGTAATATGTATGTAGGGAGTGGGTGGTAAATATGTATGTAGGGAGTGGGTGGTAAATATGTATGTAGGGAGTGGGTGGTAAATATGTATGTAGGGAGTGGGTGGTAAATATGTATGTAGGGAGTGGGTGGTAAATATATAAGCACAAAGTGGGTTGTAAATATGTATGTAGGGAGTGGGTGGTAAATATGTATGTATTTAGCGGGTGGTAAATATGTATGTATTTAGTGGCTGGTAAATATGATTGTAGGGAGTGGGTGGTAAATATGTATGTATTTAGCGGGTGGTAAATATGTATGTATTTAGTGGCTGGTAAATATGATTGTAGGGAGTGGGTGGTAAATATGCATGTAGGGAGTGAATGATAAAAATCTATGTAGAAAATGGGTGGTAAATTGTATTAGGGAGTGGGTGGTATAAATGTATCTAGAAAGTGGGAATGTGTAGGTACGCCACAATTGTACTCATGGAATCACTTCGGTGCTAACGGTGAAGCTGTAGCAACATTAAGACATACAAGCTACAAAGGTAATGACACAAAACTTTAAGTGATGAAGTCTTATAATTATAAGAATGACATGCATGGCCAGTCAATCGGTGAATTTGTGTTAAAAAATGGAAGACAAAAGTGGCCGAGGTTTATATCGGGTTATTTAATTGGGAAATAATTGTAAGCAAAATTCTCGCCTAAGGGGAAGTAAAAAAAGCAATAAAGATATCAAGGGAGATTATCGATGTCATTTAAACGTTTGTGTGTAGAGACGTTGATAACTGGTATTTAGCTTGGTGGGCGGATAGTGGTGCGGCGGTTTAAATGTCAGAATAAATATGCAATCACGACTCTATGATTTGAGGAGGGAGAGGGGGACGGGGGAGGAGAGGGGGAAGGGAGTGAAGTGTGTGGTGTGTGGGTGTGGGAGGGGGGGGGGTGTAGGTTTAGCTCCTAGACAGCTTAGTCTTGTTAGTTCCTAGACAATGTGGTCTTGTTAGCTCCCAGACAATTTAGTCTTGTTACATTCTCCTCACGGAGGTTCGGAAGCCGAGGCGTGTTTATTATTCTTGTCGTTTAAAGACGAGATAAGACAGGGGCAGGGAATTCAATTTTTTAAAGGTGTTTAACGTTGTCGTGGGGATGTGGGGGATTTGTCTCCCTTGATTAGATATGTGGGTCTAGGGTTGTAACAGAGGCGTAGCGAGGGGGGGGGGGGGAAAGCTGGGGTGCGAACAGCACCGGGTGACACCATTTAGGGGGGTGACACCAAGGCAAAAAATAGCAAAATATTTAGAGAAAAATGATAATTCCACTTAATTAAGAGATTAATTCGAGTGTTAAATAGTCTTTTAAGCGATGCAAATCGAAAGTTTGAGTGGGGTGGGTGCAAATCGAAAATTGTCCCCGGGAAGGTTCGCTACGCCTCTAGGGGGTGACACCATTAAGTGCCGCACCGGGTAACACCCGACCTCGCTACGCCACTGGGTTGTAAGGGTCATAGCAAGGTAATAAAACAATGCATTAATGCTTGGCAAAGTAGGTTGATTTCGTTGATTAATTAATTAATTACTTCTAATAGTTTAAACTGATTATTTTGTCACACATTGCAAACAACGTGTAATCAAAATTATGTTTTTACTTTAAAAAAAGATTGATTAAAGGCTGTTTATATTGAACACAATCTAAATTTAATTTTTAAAGCCAAACAGCTTCTATAAGAAAGCAGTTAAAACAATACTGCTTTGGAATAATATATTTTGCAAGTTATTCCTTAATATATAGCATGTATCATTTTTAATAAGAAACTGATTAATGAACCTATGCTGTAAATTAGGTTATCTGTAATTAAGCCAATACATAACCCGAAAATATTGCTATTCAAATAAATCAATGTGTTACAGTGTTTTAAATAATGTAAATAAGATCTCCAATATTGAACTTTTTCCCTTTTGGTTTCAACCCTTCGGTTCTATGACGTCATTAACGAAGCGAAAAAAAAACAAATGTAAGCATTTATTTTGGAGGTTATTTATTCGCTCCAATATGCCAAAACTGAGGACGCGTCCATTGTGAGCGAATTGATTAGATAAAATATGTTCAGCTGTGTATGTTGGGCTTCTAGTTCATATTGTGAGTGAATTGATTAGATAAAATATGTTCAGCTGGGTATGTTGGGTTTCTAGTTCATATTGTGAGCGATCTGATTGGATCAAATATCTGGCTTGGTGAGCTGGGTTCGTGTCGCTGAGGTTTAGATTCGTTCAATAGCCGGCCTTGATTGAATTTGTTGGGGTGTTTGAAATGTGTGGAGAGGGGGGCGGGAACAGAAATAATAGATAAATCAGCTTACAGAGAGGGGAGGGAGAATTGAGAGAATGAAATGTCGAAAGAGGTGGAGAGAAAAGGTAAAGGAAGGAGGGAGAACTAGAGAGAGCAGGGAAAACAGAAGAGAGAGTAAAGAGAGGGGACAGAGAACTTGTGTGTGTGTGAGTGAGTAAGAGAGTGAGGGAGAGAGAAGGAGAGAGAGAGAGAGAGAGAAAGGGAGAGAGAAAGAGAGAGAGAAAGAGATAGAATATATATATAACGAAGAAAGATTGAAAGAGGAATGCGAGGGTGGAAGAGAATGGGAGTGAGGAGAATGAAAGAGTGTAGAAAAAGATAATGTAAAGAGGTAGAGAGGAAGAAGGAGAGCATATGAAAGTAATTGTATTGTAACGAGAGAGGAAACAAAAGGAAAGCAAGAAAGGGCACTGTGAAAACGAAGATGGATAAAATCGAACAAGAAAAAGAGAGATGGTGTATATGAGCAGTAAAGAATCTCAGAATAAATGCCCATAGGGATGTCGAGGGGAGAGGGGGGGGGGGGGGCGGAGGTGCAACGGGGTGAGTTGGATTTCGTTTGATGTAAGAAATGTAATCTTCTCGTGTAAGATCTGTATCGCGGCGATGCTTACACACGTTAAGGATGTTTAGGTTAGGGTTGTGATATCGTTTGACTTCCGACATTTCTAATTTACTTTCGGTTTGACGGAGCTATGGTTTATGAGATCAGGTCACATCAATTCCAGAGTGTATGAGGTGTATGTGGTTCCTTATTTTACAGAGTGTATGAGGTGTGTGTGGTTCCTTATTTTACAGAGTGTATGAGGTGTGTGTGGTACCGTTTTTTAACAGAGTGTATGAGGTGTGTGTGGTTCTGTTTTTTAACAGAGTGTATGAGGTGTGTGTGGTTCTGTTTTTTAACAGAGTGTATGAGGTGTGTGTGGTTCTGTTTTAACAGAGTGTATGAGGTTTATGTGGTAACGTTTTTTAACAGAGTGTATTCTAGCCTAAGGCCTGAGGTGTCCAGTTTTTAAACCGAGTGTATTTTGGCCTGAGATATGAGTTGTCAAGTTTTTAAACTACTGGTTCTGTACCCAACCACTTAGTTACATTTTAGTTTACGATCTGCCATCACTTTCTGTATTTAACACTTTTTTTTGGAGCCAGCCTTTCAAACATTTCGACTTTTTTTGGACTACTTGATAAAATGTCTCTTTGATCCTGGTAATTTTAAAGAACTAGCGTTGATTATATCAATAACTGAAACTAGATTTAGGCTTAAATTATGTGGATTATGATGCCACTTTTGTATACAGAGGGCATTCGCGAGGACAAGATTTTCTTTCAGAGAGGTGGGTTATTTTGTTTGTGTGTGTGTGGGGGGGGGGGGGGGGAATGGATGTTGGATTGCAGGTAAATAGTAATTTAAAAAATTGTTTTATTCAATACAACTTCATTTAAGTTTACATTGGGATGTTCATTTCAAATCATGGATTAGTTTAAATATGTTAACGTTTACACATGTAACTTAATTATGTAATGGTTTTAGTATACCGTATATATATATTATCAATAGGAATATAAAATAAAATTTGTATTAGATATCACCGCCGCAAGACAAAAGCCCTTTGTTGTATTTTACATTATGTTGGCTCTACGGTAATGGTTGTTTACAAGTGTTATTCAATAAAAACAACTTACTAGAGTAATCGTCTATTGTCGCTCATTATGGTGGCTATACGGTAATGGTTGTTTACAAGAGTTATTCAATAAAAACAACTTACTAGAGTAATCGTCGATTGTCGCCCCTTGTCCCGCGAACAGCAGGAACAACAGAACCAACGGGAACATGGCGCCCTCCATTTGATCGGCCCTGCACCCCTATCGGCCATGCCTGCACTCCATCACCGCATGCTGCACTCCCGCACTCCGTCACGGGTCACTGAGTCACATCACAGAGCACGTCGTGTAATCCAGGACTAATGTGCGGGTGTTGAATTAATATCCACTGGATGGAGCGGCTGTTGAACCAATATCCACTGGATGGAGCGGCTGTTGAATCAATATCCACTGGATGGAGCGGGTGTTGAACCAATATCCACTGGATAGAGCTAGGTCCCGGCTAAGTTTAACCAATATCCACTGGATAGAGCTAGTTCCCAGCTAGCTAGGGGCGGGTCAGCGTGACCTGGATACGACAAAAAGAAAAAAAAATATGTTGTAGGAATTCAAAGACATATTCTAACTAAAGCTATTGACAAGATGGGCGCGGCAGTGGGGCTTGTCAGATATAGGTATACATACACACATACAGGTACACATACACAAAAAATATGCCAATTTCAGAAAGTGGGGGGGGGTTGATTTTCCTTATGGAAGTCCAGAACTTGGGTAGTAACTTTTGTACGGTTCCAAAACAATTTCTAGAACCATTTATTCTAAGTCTTGGTCTACCTTAATGACCACCATGACAAAGACCAGAAAAGCCTAGTTTGAACCCACGCTGAACGAAGCTGGAAGACAACAGCATTAATCATGAGAAATCAAGTTCTATAAAAGCTTGTAAAAAATGATTTTTTGGACACAGATGTGAGCTTTGTTGCTGAAATAATAACACACCTCGTTTACACATTACTAGGTTGTTATTTCGTGATCATTTACTTTTAATTAAAGAGTTTAGAATAAACAAATGTCTACACATTTTACAAACGTATCAATTTATTCTTTAATTATAGAGTTTAGAATAAACAAATGTCTACACATTTAACAAACCTTTTAATTAATCAAAGCGACAAGGCGAAGCCACGATAACACCAAATTATGCTAAAGAAACATTAAGCTACCCCCCCGCTCTTATAGGATCTTAAAGACTATCAAATCGTCATGTGTATAAAATCAACTGCTGTATTTAAAAAATGTGGGTTTGAGTTTTCAACATGTAAACATGTTTACTACGTCCAAGAAAAAGTAAAGTTCCCTTTTTGAACCTAACGGTCCATGGGGTAACTGAAGTAGAGTTCACCTGTTTCTGTGACCTCTGCCTATGAAGGGATATTGTAGTCAGCCATTTACCCAGCTGCCTTTACTTGTCCTAATGTGATTTAGGTACCCATCAGAGCTGGGTGGACTCAGGGAAGCTTCACTGACTTGAACCCTGATTCGAACTCGAGCGCGCTACCGCTAGGCCACGCTGTTCCATAATGTCCTACAAAACGATGCAATCAATACTGCCACCAGTTACCGTAGACTTACATAATTATCTAGGGCCATCGGTAAAAAATGTCACACAGCTAGGCTGAATGAAACTCGGGATTTAGTGACACTTTCTGAGTAAGGGAAGGGCTCAGACATTGTTTCTATCGCCCCCCCCTACCCCCCCCCCCCCTACGAAATGGAATTTACACACACACACACACACACACACACACACACACACACACACACACACACACACACACACACACACACACACACACACACACACACACACACACACACACACACACACACACACACACACACACACACACACATATATATAAATATAAATATATATATATATATATATATATATATATATTTATATATATATATATATAAATATAAATATAAATATAAATATATATATATATATATATATATATATATATATATATATATATATATATATATATATATATATATATATATATATATATAAACAGTGTCCGCCATCCCCCCACCCGGAAATTTAGTTCGCCCCCCCCCCGAAAATTTCAAGTATCCCCCCCACCCTTCCACCAGAGAAGAAAGTCTGGAAGAAAAACTGGGCTCAGAGAGCATGACGCGAAACTTTGGTATTTAAAAAATAATATTTTAAACTGTATTCCTGCAGCTATTTTGGCATTAAACAAAAAGAACTGTAAAAATTTTTATTTTGTAATAGAAATTGAATAGTATCAAATTGATCAATATGTTAAAATTTTGACTTGTTATTTATTTTAGAAAGAAAATGCTGTTTAAAAAAATATACAACGAAAAATTCAGTTTGGATAGTAGTGTGACATCAATTGGGTTGGGTGGATGGGTCTGAGTCTGTAACGATAGGGAGGGGGGGATGAAAATAAAAATCATCCTAAAACTAGTGGCGCATTTATGGATGACTCGTTTACGCACACCAAAAATATTTTCTCTTAATATTTGAAATAAGGGAAATAAGCCATACTTATGTTCCCAAAAATCAAAAGAATACTGAAAAATTGCAATGTGAACATAATAAAAGAAACAAATTACATACTTTTATCCCCTTTAAGAATGAATATTTAAACAATTTATATATTTTTTGGCTATGCTTTTAGCATACAAGCTAAATTAATTATTAGTCAACATTAATCTAATAACTAAACACATAACAGTAATGTATATTATATATCTTTATTTATGAACGTTTACTGTCAAGCTCTAATCAGTTTATAAGTTTATATTTTACTATAAAAGATTTTACTAAAAAAAATCCTTAAAATTTGTATCATTTTAATTCTCGGTAATCCCAATTTTTTTTTTCAGCTCTACTTAAAAACCCAAATTCCACCCCCCCCCCGTCCCCTCAGCCCACCAGGCCGAGAAAATAAAAATTCCATGGAATCATCATTTAGTTACACATTTGCATTTTCAGTTTCAGGTTGTTTTTTTTTTTAATTTTTTTAAATTTTTTTCTTTATATTTAGACGTTTTGTATTAGATCTATGTATAATAAAACCATCTTAAATGAATGAAAGCAGGCTACAAGTAAGAAAGAAATATTACTATTGTAAATCTGTATCAGTCCTCACAAGCCGATGATGAAAACTGTAATACTAAAGCGAACACACAACTGACGCTATAAATTACGTGTCTGAGGCGGAAAAAAAAAATCCTACCGTTAAGAAGTGATACGACTCTACTTCAGGGGGCGGGAACCTGCGGCTCGCGAGCCGCATGCGGCTCTTTTGATGCCAAGATGTGGCTCTCGAGTTCAATACGCAAAAAAAATTAATTATATTATTATTTTATTTTAAAACTCATAAAAATATTATTCTGCAAGACTCGGTAATGAACGATATAATAATAAACATAAACAATAAACAGACGTTATTCTATTAGAATATTTAGTTACTCCCTATTTCAATGTCCTTCCTGTTCTTTCGTGTCACGGATATGCCGACTCAGGAGTCTATCTCCCATACGTCACGCAGGCCACGACGTAGCGAACTCCAACTAACTGGCTTTGAAGATGCCGTTGTGTTCGCTACATGTTGGTCGCTTTTCATCCGTAGGTTCTCACCACGCTTATCCTCCCCAACCATCAGATGCGGGACGGCGTGTCCTACCAGCTTGACTGTGGGGGGTTTTAGGGCCTAAAAACAGGTTAAGGACACGCTTCTGTCTTCACGTACACAACCCGAAAGTGCCGGGAAGTCGACCCCCCCCCCCCAGCCGACATGGTACTACCCGCCCTGTGAGATGTTCCTTGTCTGACCACGTATCAGACACTAGTTGGATATCACAAAGAAACTAAACGAGCTAAATGTACAACTGAATGGAAAACCCAACCCATGCCTTGCTTAAAGAAGTGGATTGCTACTAAAAAAAATACTTTTTTGTTGAAGACACAATTAGTGGCGAATTACTTAATTTCGAAAAAATTGAAAACATATGGTGATGAAACCAATGCTGCAATTAATATGAATCGCTTCAGCTTACTATAAACAAAATGAAGGATGTTTTCACTGAGAGATTTGAGCAATTCAAAACAAATGCAAGTACTATGGCGTTTATAGTAGATCCTCTCAACACAAAAAGAAATGAGATCAACATTTAGCCATTTGGAATGTATGTTGGTTCGCTTGAAATGCAAATGCTGGATTTGAAAACGACACATTTGTGAAGAGGTAAATTCACAGAACTCAAGAGCAAGTAAAAATAGTTTGAGGTTCAGAAAAACATACACATTATGCTGCACAACTGGACAGCCCTAAAAGAAATGCCGCGAGTTGAGGCACTAATATTTGACGCAAGGAACCGTTATACAGAATGCTACAGTGAAGTGAAGAAGTTGACATCTGGAGTGCTGACGATCGTTAGGTCAACTTATTCGTGCTAGCAAGAGTTCTCTTACATGAATGTAATAAAAAGTTAAGTAAGAAGCCAACTAACAAATAAAAATCTAGAGGCGTGCTTGAAACTGAAAACAAGTTATGAGCCAGAAATAAACAAACTATCATACAAAGGCAATGCACCAAATGATAAAACTAATGTAAATATTCATTGACTACAGTCATATTATCTGATTACTAATTTTATAATTCTAGCAGAGCTAGCTAAAAAACTTTAATATGTTTATGCGAAACGTGTATTTTTATATGAATAAATATTATTTCATATTTAAAACTCTTTATTTAAATTAAATATATATATATGTATATATGTATATATATATATATATATATATATATATATATATATATATATATATATATATATATATATATATATATATATATATATATATATATATATATATATACCTAATCCTAAAAAAATACTAAACATTGAAATAAAAATGTTGTGGCTCTTTATAAACTGTTAAATTTTGTAAATTGTAATTTTTGGCTCTTCCGTCTCAAAAGGTTGCCGACCCCTGCTCTACTTAAATTCGTTTTTACTAATTATTCTCTTGCACGCTGTGCATATCAAAATTAGCTTCCCCATATGCACAGTATTTTATAAATGTTCACTCTCGTATGCACATTTATATAAATTGTATGTTCGTTCTTGTTTTTTATTGAAAATAAAAGTAGTAAAAAAAAAGTTAATAGATCCAAGAAACAATTTTAAAATTCATTCTAATTAAAAAGGAGACAGAAATACATAACAGCTGAAAATATAAAACAACTGAGTTCGAATGTAGGGAATAACCCGGCACTAACATCGTGAGTCTTGGTGCCTGTAACAGTTATTTTCTGTAAGTGCCAGCTTTCATTTGTGTCTAAAAATAACTCCCAGAGAATGGTACCGATGGCATTGCTGAGAGACGCATTCGTGGAATGTAATATTTACGTAGTACGTGTACAACCAGCGGCGGAGACCGGGGGTGTTAGCTGGGGGTGTTCACGCTCCCCCCATAACAATGGACCCCCCCCAAACTTTCTAACCTTTAATGAAATTTATTATCGACCCATTGAGCTACTGTCATGTTCAATGTTTTCTGTTTCAAATTTTTGAATTGCAATTTTTCGTCCGCATATAAAATAGTTATGGAATATATATATATATATATATATATATATATATATATATATATATATATATATATATATATATATATATATATATATATATATATATATATATATATACATACATACATATATATATATGTATAAATATATATAGATATGCATATGTATACATATTTTTCGATCACGTCTCCCCACCTAAGACGAAATACTTCTCACGCCACCGTTTAGAGCTAGTTAGAACTGTGATGAACACAAAAGAACTGAGTACTCACGGAAGAGCGTGATGGTTTGAACGTACCGGTTCCCTCCCCTGTTTCTGATCTACTGAGATTCCAGAACTACACGCGGACACACAACCGCGTGTGTTACAGGTGTGTACAGGTGTGTACAGGTGTACCGAGTTCTGCAATGTCAAGGCTCTTTACACGCCAGTAGAGTCGGTTGAATAAACGTCTAGACAAAACTGTCAACCCAACCCCATGCTTGATAAAGGTATTGAGACCAAATTAGATGCCTCTCCCCACCCCATATAACACCCTAACTTATACAGGTGTTGAGACGGATAGCAGGTAAGGAGGCGTCACATGACGCAGTATAGACCAACAGTGCGTGCCGTCTGATCAGACGTGTCAACAGAAATCATTCAAGCGTGAAGCTGTGATTTAATAATCTGCGACCACCCAACCGTGGCTGATCTCAAGTGTACCCGAGAAGACAAAAGTAAAATCGATTGATTAAACAAAATAATTAATTAACAACCACATGTACGTGTACATGTTTCATGATTCAACCACCACCTTAAAAAAAAAAAAAAGATCTAATCCGACTGAATCGAACAAAAAAGATATTGACTGACTCATCGATTATCGAACCCAAGCATTTTGGTGCACTGGACATGTGCCAATACGCTATCGACCCGACCAGGAAGTTACAGTGTGGCTAAGTTCAGTTTGATTTCTCGTCTTATAGAGTGGATGTAACTAGGTAAAATCGTTGGTCCTTTATGCAAAAGCCTGACAGCATTAAGTAGCCCATAGTCCTAGGTCTAACCATGTGACCAGACGGGTGTCCTGGTCCTAGCAACGCAACTACAGTCCTGGTCCTAAAAACGCAGCCTACAGTTCTATTCATATGCGTACAGTTTTGCAACTCGAAAATCAACTATAGGATTAATTATATAATAACAGTTCTAGAAAGACTGACCAAACTTTTAAATTCTAAAGATGGTTGTCCTTTTGCACTAAAAAGTAGTTAACCTTTCGAACCTGGCGGTCCTTGGTGCAGATGAAGTAGAGTGTACCTGTTTCTCTACCACGGCATATAAAGGGATAGTGTGTTTCAGTTCAATACCTAGCCGCCTTTTATTTCCCTAACGATAGTTAGGTACCCATCAGAACTGGATAGACTCAAGGACGTCCTGTAAACTCAAGCTCGAGATGCGAATTCGAATCCTTCGGGTTGCCAGTCGTACGCTATACCACCCAACCACGCTGTACCACCAGATTGCAGTAATTTTACAAGAATGTCCGTGTTATTTTTCACAACATGTGTAATTATGTTTCTTAAATTCCGTGCAAAGCATGAATACATTTGGCCCAGTAGTTGGACTTTATTTATTTAAAAAAAAACACAACAACAAACAAAAACACTTCCTGATTTATTGTGACTTCTTATGTGTAGTTAATTTTCATTTATATAAATACATATTTATCTCAGAAATTAAAGACGAATAAAAATTATTCAAAATGTTACAGAAACCTCACAGTTATCGGCCTTGAAACAACCCTAACACGTCTTTCAAATACCCCCAAACCACCTGTCGTCTTGCTGTTTAGATCACCTCGACACCTGTTTGTCAGGTAATTACATCCAGGTGTGCTGGAGGGGACCTGTGTTTTTGTTGATGTTACTTCCGTCTCCGCCAGCCCAAATATACCTGGTCAGCAACAAATTACTTGGTCAGGTAACACAGCCAAACATTACATGCACAGCCAAAAGCTACCCGCATAACTAAAATTACAAGGACAGTTACAAATCACCTAGCTAGCCAAAAGATACCCACACGGCCACAAAGTACATGGCCATGTTACACAGCCAAACATTACACTCACACCTAGAATTTACCTGGACATTCAAATGCTACCCACAAAGGTAAAATTAAAAGGACTTCCAAAAATTAACAGGCCAGCCAAACGGTACCCATAGAGCTCAAATTACTTGGAGAGCCAAAAATTGCTCAGCCAGCCAAAAGCTATCCACAAAGCCAGAAGTTACCAGGCCAAATTACACAGCTACAACACTACACGCCGGAAATTACATGACCAGCCAAACGGTACTGACACAGCCAGTAATTACATGACCCGCCAAATGATAAGCACACAGCCAAAATTACAAAACAAAAAATTACTCCGCAAACCAAAATCTACCAGATTTTTTTTGGATCAGATTACACCAAAGTTACTTGATAATTTTCAAGTCTAAAAATTTAGCCAATCAAACTCTCCGTTGTTTTGATCCACGGGATTAACAGATTTTCTGATTTTCTAATTGTATTAAAATATTTTCAACATCGCTTTTTAGCATCGTTTGTTTAAAAAATATAATAATGGTTAACCTAATAATATTTTTTCCTTCCTTCTTTTCGTATTAATACAATTTAAAAAATGTATTAATTACATATAAGTAAAGAAAACATTTAACGGAAATTAAGTCTGGCGTTTGAATCCGGGTTCAAGTCAGTAGACAGTCCCTGAGTCCACCCAACTCTGATGGGTACCTAACTCACGTTAAGAAAAGTAAAGGCGGCTCTACTTTACTTGCCCTATAGACCGTCATGTTTGAAAGGGAACTTTACTTTAAAAATGTGCTAACAAACACACAAAGCACATAATGGTACTTTTTAAAATGTCTGTGTAGCATACAAAACGTATAGTGAGTTCATATCGAACATGATTACTTATTATACCTAAACATAGATTTTGAAGTATCAAATTTAGTTAACTTTGATGGCCTCAGAATAGTGAAAACGTATCAACTACCAAATTTGGGTTAAGCGTGTGTGTAGGGGAGGGGGGTGGTCAGGTAGTGTACACAGAGGCGTAGCGACCCCTCCCGGCGCCCGGGGACAAACTTTCGATTTGCGCCCCCTCCCCTCGAACTTTTCATTTGCACCCCCCTTAAACTTTCGATTTGCGCCCCCTCCCCTCGAACTTTTCATTTGCACCCCCCCCTCAAACTTTCGATTTGCACCCCCCGTCGAACTTTTCATTTGCACCCCCCCTCAAACTTTCGATTTGCACCCCCCCTCTAACTTTTCATTTGCAACCCCCCTCAAACTTTCAATTTGGCGCCCCCCTAAGGTCGGCGCCCGGGGACATATGTCCCGCCCGCCCCCCCTCGCTACGCCTCTGAGTGTACACGCCCTGGGCGTAGGGCTATAGGGCGTAAAGTTAAAATCTGGATAAGTCCGGCTCAGTTCTTAAGGAAAAAAAATGAAAATTTACATTTTCGCTTCCAGACTTGTAAAACAGTGGAGTGGAGCAAATACCAGAATGTTGCCATGACAACCAGATACTACACATTCCATAAAACAATTTTAAGGGCTTTCATATCTTGTTAAAGCTGCCCAATGCCTCGCCCAGTCTGCCTAAATTTCCGGCCGTCTGAAGGGTCTAATTTTCCGTTTTTTTTTGGAGACCGGACAAAAATAAAATAAAATGGCAAAAAGGAAAGACCGAAGTCTTTTTTCAGACTGAATTTATTGGGGTAGGGGGGTCGGGGTTGGGTTGGGGGGAGAAAAGTTATTATGAAAAAGTCAGACAGCAGATTTATTGTTTTACGATTGAGGAGATAAAGTTGACAGGTTTAGGGAAAGTTGTCGGAAATTGTCGGCGGGGAATATAAGGGGAAATAAGTCAGTAGTAGGCGTGGGTTGTCCCAGAAGCAAGTCAAGTGTGCCAGACGTCTTCTAAATGGAACAGAAAGATGGGTTGAGACAAATACTGGCTTAGACACAGTCTACAGGCTAGACAAGAGAAATGTTTTCTTAGACACAGTCTACATGCTAGACAAGACAAATGTTTTCTTAGACACAGTCCACAAGTTAGACAAGTCAAATGTTTTCTTAGACACAGTTCTAAAGGTTAGACATGATACATGTTTTCTTAGACAGTCTACAAGTTAGACATGACAAATGTTTTCTTAGACAGTCTACAAGTTAGACATGACAAATGTTTTCTTAGACACAGTCTACAAGTTAGACATGACACATGTTTACTAAGACACAGACTGCTAGACAAGACTAATGATAAGAGCCAGCCATATTAGCTTCTAGCTAAAACAGCCATTTCTGTAAAAAGAAAACGAAACGCCAGTTATAATATTAGTCTTACATCACACAGTCAAAATAGAATGTAATAAAAAATGACATTCAAATATTTAATTTGTCCTTAACAGCAATTTTGCCATTAACATCAAAATCTACCAAAGTTAAAATAATCCTTGACATATTTTTATCAGCAGTTTCTCAAATATTTTAGCACTAATGAATCATTGTAAAATTTGACAATGCCCACTCACTGTTATGATGACATTCCGTTCAACTAATTCACAAAGCCACATTCCCACTCTCCAAAAAAAAAAAAAGAAAAAAAGAAAAAAAAAAAAAAAAAAAACTGGTCTAAAACACAATGATGAAATTAACAATTTTTGACATGATGGATTCCCCCCTCCCCCCTCAACCAATGCGGCCGTCGTCAAAATAAAAAAAAAAGCAATAGAATTCGATTTGGTGAGTTAAAAAATGGAGCGACAAGCACGTGCTTAGAAAACACCGTTTGACTGGGATGTTGTAGTTAGCTCCAGGCTAGCAGACGGGAACAGCGACTGTTTCCGGTGTCAGATGAAAATGGCGGGATTTGTTTTTTTTAAAGAGGAAGTGGAGTTTGTTAAGTGGTTAAACATTGAGGGATGGGTAACGGTGGGAGTGTGTGTGGTTGAGTGGGAGTGTGTATGACTGTAGGAATGTGTGTAGCTGGGTGGGAGTGTGTGACTGTAAGCAAATTACTCGCTTAAGGGGAAGTAAAAAAAGCCGGGTTTTTACAAGCTTTTATTTAACTCACTTCCACGTCAGTTTGTCTGTCTGTCTAGATCGAAACGGCCGAGCGAAATTGCAGGCACTTCTAACTGACAGATACGGTTCGTAATTGGTACGTGGGTCAAGACACAAAGACAATGCATTTTGACATTAAATTTGACTTAATTGGTCGCCTGATTAATTTTTTAATGAATTTTTCTTTATTTAAATAGTAGTGTATAATTTTTTTCTCCTTTTTAGTGCATTATTACATAAAAGCTTGTTATTAAAACGTTTTTTTTCATGATTTTTTTTAACGAAATCATTTAAGTCTTTAAATCAATGTGTGTATTTAATATGGTGTTGTGTTGACTAATTATGTATATACTTTGGTTTTATTTTTTCTAATAGGTATTAGTAGCCTATGTTATTTTAAATGTGTCGGAGCACTTGGGAGTGTTTTGCTGTGTACTAATGACCCTCTGTTCGCTGGGACTTTTTGGTTTAAAAGAAACTCTACTAACTTTACACCAGTGGCGTAGGCAGGGGGGGGGGGGGTTAGGGGGGGTTCATACCCCCCATAGACGCCTCGGTATATAGAAAAAGTATGAGGGGGGGTGCAAATCGAAAGTTTGAGGGGGGGGGGGTGCAAATCGAAAGTTTGTCCCCGGGTAAAAATTGGAACCCCCACCTTGAGACGATCCTGGCTACGCCACTGCTTTACACTACAGGAGAATCTTTTGACAAAAGTAAAGTAATTACAAAATTGGAGATGAGTCGAGATCGAGGAAAAATGCGCTGGAATAAGTGAAGAGAATTTTTTTTAAAACTCATTGGTGGAATATGGCATAGACAAACGTTTTTCTGAACGGATTTGAGCTAACAGGATTGTTACTGTAAAACACTTTTGGATTTCTAACCCACCAAAACACACATTATTCTGTCTTAAACTTGTGAAAACAAACCTTGAATCTCTAACAGGTTTGTGCTAAAAAAGTGCTAGAAAATGTAATTATTTCTTTAAAAAATATTCCAGAATAATTTTCAAGGACGAAGCTGAAACCACGTACACTCTTAAATAGCATCGACTAATTAAAGCTCGGCTCTAATTAAGGCCATGGTCTAATGAGAGAGTGTATTCACGAGAAACAGCTTTGTTTTGATGGAAAGAAGGGGCGGGATCGGATGGGCATAAATCTAATTTTAAATCCAAAAATAAATCGTTGATTGCATTAAATGAAGTAAATTATGTAAATTATGGGGAAAGCTTTCTGCAACGAGTGAAATAATGGACGGAATTTTGTAAAAAGAATAACAATAAAGATTCCTTTCATAGAAAATAGAAGAAAGCTAAAAATATATTTTAAAAATATTCTTAGCGTTCAGCAATTCTTGCACTTCTTTGAATTTTTTTTTCTCTTCTGGCTTGCAGACGTGAAGATTATTTGCCTTTTGGTGAAACAGCGGCCTCTGTGGGGTGTGTGTGCATCCATCACCCGACATTTTTTATTGGGCTTTTCCCCACTACTGGTATCTGGCAGGCGGGTTTTGATTGGCTGAGCAGTGGTGTGGTGTGTGATGGGTAAACAAGATTTCCATTGTTTCCGGTTTAAGTGTGCAGTCAGTGGAATCTTAGTGTAGGGAATCTTAGTGCAGGGAATCTTAGTGCAGGGAATCTTAGTGCAGGGAATCTTAGTGCAGGGAATCTTAGTGCAGGGAATCTTAGTGTAGGGAATCTTAGTGCAGGGAATCTTAGTGCAGGGAATCTTAGTGCAGGGAATCTTAGTGCAGGGAATCTTAGTGCAGGGAATCTTAGTGTAGGGAATCTTAGTGTAGGGAATGTTAGTGCAAGGAATGTTAGTGTAGGGAATGTTAGTGCAGTGGATGTTAGTGTAGGGAATGTTAGTGCATTTTATGTTAGTGCAGGGAATGTTAGTGAAGGGAATGTTAGTGCAGGGAATGTTAGTGCAGGGAATGTTAATGGAGGGAATGTTAGTGCAAGGAATGTTAGTGCATTTTATGTTAGTGCAGGGAATGCTAGTGCAGGGAATGTTAGTGCATTTTATGTTAGTGCAGGGAATGCTAGTGCAGGGAATGTTAGTGCAGGGAATGTTAGTGCAGGGAATGTTAATGGAGGGAATGTTAGTGCAGGGAATGTTAGTGCATTTTATGTTAGTGCAGGGAATACTAGTGCAGGGAATGTTAGTGCAGGGAATGTTAGTGCAGGGAATGTTAATGGAGGGAATGTTAGTTCAGGGAATGTTAGTGCATTTTATGTTAGTGCAGGGAATGCTAGTCAGGGAATGTTAGTGCATTTTATGTTAGTGCAGGGAATGCTAGTGCAGGGAATGTTAGTGCAGGGAATGTTAGTGCAGGGAATGTTAGTGTAGGGAATGTTAGTGTAGGGAATGTTAGTGCAGGGAATGTTAATGGAGGGAATGTTAGTGCAGGGAATGTTAGTGCAGGGAATATTAGTGCAGGGAATGTTAGTGCAGTGGATGTTAATACAGTGGATCTTGATGTGCTTTTCAAAGTCTAGTTGATGTTGAAATTTAGTGCTACTTTTATAATTCGATCCTAAATTGTCATACATAAAACGATCCAAATATTGTCCTTTCTTAAAATGATTATAAACTGTCCTATCATTAAAATCCTAAAAATGATAAAATTAGAAAATTTTCTCAAGAAGATTTAGATAAAGGACATTTTTTTTGAAGTTCATGTATACAAGGGATCACAATGTTGTTTATTGTTTCACATTGTGTGTTTTTATTGAAGATACATGCCAGAAGATGGACGTTTTAAGACTTCAAACCACTGTGTTGATAAAATGTCTCCTTACAGAGCTAACCTTGCCAGGAAAAGCCTCAAAACTTGCCAGAATTTCCCCAGACTATTGGCTATGTGACGCTTCCATTAAAACAGAAAAATAAAATTAAAACGAAAAAAAAAGTTTAAAAAGTTAAAAATCCCCAAGCTGTTTTCGCCGACCGAGTGGCCATATTGAGTTTCGTCTTCTTCCCACCTGCTCCTCCATGACCGGAAGCCCAAAGCTCCCTGTATTGATCCGAGATCGCGCGGAAATGAAAAGCTACGTGAAATTTGACGGGAGAAATGATTCAGAGCCCCCCCCCCCCCTAAACATTACATCGTTGAATGAAAACTGCGTTCAAGCAAAAAACGTGTAATCTGTATTAGTGTTAATTATTTACAATAAAAATAAATCAGATTCCAAAAATATGCGTTTTTCGCTGGTTTTTTGTAAAAATGGTTTGAAAAGAGTTTTAAAATGAGTTTTGTTTTTGGTTGTTTTAGAATGCCAGCGATAAAGAGATGGGGAATATGGCCTAGTGAATCATTAGCTCTAACATGTAAGTTATCGTGCACTAAATAATGCGTGTTAATAAATTTAGGATATATTCTGTAGATATCTCAGATTCCATTCAGCTTTCGTGAGTCTGTAGGACATTCCTGATTCTCCCAGCTATCGTGAGTCTGTTGGACCAGAGTTTGTTCCAGGCATCTTTTCGGGTGTGTGTGTGGGGGGGGGGGGGCGAAAAATGTCTGCCGCCTCCCAAATGAAACGGAATTTATATAGAAAATATATACTTTCAACAGTTTCCCCCCCTGGAGAAAAAAGTCTGGAATTAACACTGTGCAGGACATTCCTGATTCTTCAAGCTATCCTGTCCAGAATCTGTAGGACATATTTGATTCATCCAGTTCTCATGTCCTGAATATGTAGGACATTTCTGATTTCTTCATTACTTATGCCCTGAGTCTAAGGGACATACATGTAGAACATTCCTGATTCTCTCTGTTCTTAATTCGATACTTGAATCTTACGGTTAACGGAATTCCTTGGGTAATGCTATTTTTAGCTCAACGACAATTTAAAAGCTCAGAGTTTGCGTTTCTCCTTAAGGCTGCTGATGTTCATGTTGATACTAGCTACATAGTTCATCTACAAGTACCTAATTAAACGATAGTCTTAATCTGCCTTGGTTGGTCTATACTCCACATTAAAAAAAATGTGTACCAGTAACAACAGTAAAAAAATAGACCTGGTGACCGTCACAGTACTTAAGTTCAAGTAATCTTATCATCTCTCAGCGCAAATACAACCTACCTTCTCATCACCATGGCAACGGTCGAGTGCGTGATAAATTTGGTGAGAACTCAGTCGCGAGCTAATCCCGAACTCGTTTAAAAAACCAACACTGTAGACTTTCGCGACTAATTAACTGGTAATTTATGGAAAACGCAGACCTAATTAACCATCTGTTATTCGGAACAAAGCTAATTTTTTTGTCCCTGTTCTGAAGAATGCCTACCTATGCTAGCAAGGGGGAAGTAACTGAATTTTTCTCGGAGAATTTTCCCATATTACCGCATTCCAGTTTTTCCTTACATTTTTTTTTCTGGGCGCTCATTAAGACCATCTGGCCAAATTATAAAGAAACATTGTTTATTTATAGATCCCATTTTAGCGCGCGCCTGCTCGTGTGTTGGACGTCACCGTATCTGGTGTACACGGATAATCTGTTGATGTAGTTGGGGACTAAGGGGGATAATCACCCAGGTGTTGTCTGTCTCCCCCCCCCACCCCTTCTCTCCATCTCTAGCCCGCGGCGATTTGATTTTAATCTTCGTCTGTTGAAAGTAGATTCAGTTAATTTGTTATTTTTTTCCAGCAATTTCTTTTCATGTATTGTAAGTGATGCAACAACATTGAGTATCGAGAGCCAGAAAGTTTCACTTATTGACTGGGTGTTTTAGGCACCCAGATTTAACTTGGCTCATGAATTTTGTTGCTTGAATAAAGAAACCACATTTTGGCGACAGATGTAACTTTTTATTTGGGTTATTCGATTTTGAAATTTGAGTTCGATAACAATAATTTTATTTATAGTTTATCGAATCGATAATTTTGTTAAGTGTTCAGCTGGACAATAACTTTTAAATTTTTTTATATCATTAGTCAGCGTAATGACAGTTATTTTAAGCCATAACTTTATTAACAGCTTGTCAAAATAATAACTTTATTAACAAGTCATCTAACTGGTACTTTGGTAGATCTCGGCCTTATTTATAGTCAGCTTTTTGTCTCCTCGGCCTTTTGGAAAACGGCCTTTTTATGTCGACCTTATTTCCTGTCGGCCATTTGACTTTTCGGCCCTTTGTACATGTCGGCCTTTTTTCCATGTCGGCGTTTTGTCCGGATCCTCTCTAGTAGATGGGATGGTACTTAGGGAAATGGGATGGTACTTAGGGAAATGGGATGGTACTTAGGGAAATGGGATGGTACTTAGGGAAATGGGATGGAACTTAGGGAAATGGGATGGTACTTAGGGAAATGGGATGGTACTTAGGGAAATGGGATGGTACTTTGTTAGAAGGTTAAGCTGGGTTACCATCCGATATTCCTCAAGTCCTAGTAGCTAGTAGTTGCATGATAAAATCAAATCAACCATCACCTAAGAAAACAATATTTTCGACTTATTGACAGTTGTACCTGTGTTCGAAAGGTGTCGTTGTTCGCTAAGCTTTGTTTTATTAAGTCACTTAATTCGCTAAAGTTATTTATAAAATTCTATAACAAATTAGTGAACACGAAAACGTCAAAAAATATTTTACAACTTTTAGCATCTATTTCTCAATAGAACTTTTCAAATATATTTTTTTCACGATTTGAACCAGGGAAACATAACTCAATTATTTAGAACGCAGGCGCATAACTCTATCTAACAATCTTCAGGTGTAAAAAAAAAGAACACAAACAATTGCACTTAGAAAACTCGGCTATCGAACAATCAATACAAACATCAAGAACTAATAACTCTACCCAACGCTGTGTCAAGGACAGATAACTCTATCAAACAATGTACCCAGGAAGCATAACTCAACCCTAGCCAAGGGAAGCAGCCATCACTTCACCCTAAAACCCCAATTTCTTACGTCAATCCCACAATGCTTTTAATTTCATAAGTCACTCCCCCACCCCCGACCCCAGGTGACCCTAGTCTGGGTCGATCTACGTGTTTAGCTCTTCGACCCCGTCACATCCTTCCTATTTATTTTCCTTCAACAACGTTCAGCTTGCTCATAACTTTTAAAAAGTTCGCGTAATTCCTTTACCCCTATCTAAACAATATTTGTGAGACGAAAATTGAGCTTGGCATTTTAAACTGGGTATCGTGTCGCACTGATTTAATTTCCGAGAGACGAGAAATTGTTTAAACTTCTTGTAAATAATGTCGCGGTAACTGGGAGAAGATTTGTGTCTTTTTTGCACGCGGTAGCCTCCCTTACTGTAACTGTTTTTTAATAGATGAAGGATTATTTATAAATAGAAATTTATCAGTATATGTTTTTTTTTCTCAGCAAAAAAATAAAAAAATTAAAAAAAAATGTCATGGTTTAAAAAAATATTGGCCAAGTGAAATTAGCTTAGCTACTCGTACTTGGGTAGTGGGTTCTGATTCTGTAAGCGCCAGTGTTCATAATGTAACATGCGCATTCAGTCCTGATTATTTAGAGGGCAGATAGAGTAGAGTCCTACAGTTTCTTTACCCTTTAAATTATGTGGTTCGTGGGGTCGGCTGAGTCTCGAGGTCTGACCCCCGGGCAGATGAAGTTTGATAGCTGGGGACATCAACTCCTCCAGGAGAGACAAATCCAAAATGAAACAACTGCTGCCTTGTTATTTGCTCTTGCTTGGGTAATATGGAGTAAACCGTCCTTATGGTGTATAACAAGTTGACACGTATACCTATTTGTATTGGAGGGAATCCCTCCCAACACTAAAATTAAGAACGCAGAAGTAAAAGAAAAAGAAAGTTTGGTTAGTTCTATGGCCATCCATCCGTCTTTATTTACTTCGTATTGAACCGGGTTCCCAATTTAGATGTTTAGAATAAAATAATTTCCAGCGATTACTTACAATTACGTAAGTGTCAGTTCTAGACCCTCGCTTATACCACCACGGATACATGTATTGTTTCTAGACCACATAAATACATGTATAATTTCTAGACCACATACATACATGTATTATTTCTAGACCACATAAATACATGTATTATTTCTAGACCCTCACCTATACGACCGCACACAGCCTATACGACCCCCACACAACCACATCGGCACCAACCATTTAAACACAATGTTGCCTATACGACCCCCACACATCGGCACCAACCATCTAAACACAATGTTATTAATGCTCACCATCTTCTCCCCAGGTATACCCGCCTCTTATCACACGCTCAATAATTAAAATCTCTCGCCTGATATTCACAACACTACGTTTATCATTCACAAAATTACCCCCCCCCCCCACCACACCAAACGATTCTTTTTTCTAAAATCTGTAGGCCTATCGTTTAACAATGCTGAGTTCACGAAATTTAGAGAGTGAGAGGGGGGCGGGAAGGGGGGGGGGGGAGGTAAAAATTTGAAGGTTCACAGATTTTCCTATAGCTAAAACAAGAAAACATTTTATTTCACCAAACAGATCCAGCATCCTTCTGATAATCC